TGTACCTGACTCGGGCTCCGAATATTACTACTCAATCCAAAGACAGACCTTCAGATAGAACTTTTCATGTGTTAAGGACTTCAGATGCGTGTTCGAGACTTCAGGTGCAGTAGCGATATTGAAGACCGAGTTTACGATTAAGACGCGTCCGTCAGAACCAAGACAGAGGTGGTCATTGGTGTCGAGATGGAGAAAAAACCATGAAAAACGGCCCAGAACCCGAGAAAGGGGCCTCTTCCTTGATCGTTTAGTCCCACACTGATGCGGTTCTGATCGTTCCCCTGATCTTTTCCCTCCTCAGTGCCAACGCTCCCTCTGCTAAACAGCCAGAGACCTGCAGCGAATGGTTAGCCAGTCGATGGGCGTAGCCGATAGCGCCGCAGGGAGCTGGATCGCCGAGGCATTCGGTGCGCATTGCGTTTGGTCCTCACTCTTTGGATGTCTCCCATCTTTCCACTAGATAAATTTCCCGTTCATCGACCTCCGACTATATCATGGAATCCTCTTAATTCATCTTATCTCGCTCTTGCACCCACATAGACGTGACGTATCCGAAATGAAGACGCGCTAACAGCTTCTGGCCCACCCCGAGGCCTGTAAGTAAATCTTCAGTAGTACCCGATTTCTACTTGTTTGTTTTCGATTGTTTTCCTCACGTGGCCTCAAATGTCCCTTGGCTGTTCTACGGTGACGTTCTTCTTGCAGGACGCAGGCACTACGACAGCAGCAGAGCCGACTCCGAAACCTGTGAGTGAAATTTCTAGCTGATTCTAAATTTGATTATTGATTGGAAAGTCTCAAAGCCACGTTCCAATTCTAATTACAATCACGCGCTAGTGATCCATTATTCTTCAAAGGACCTACCACGATGCCCTGACTTTGTTAGTGTGGTAAAAATTTGAAAGCATGAGAACTATGAGGTCCGCAACAAAACAAGTTGCAGCAAAATAAACCATCAGAAACACCAAAAATTAAGCGCGATTTGCTGTCAGTTCGAGGTTCATGTTGTACAAATGTGCACCTGAATGAGAAATCTTGACCGGGTGCAATGACGGGATGAAATACGCTCCCATTCTGAAATTTCCTGTAAGCCGCTATTAGATGCGGTCGCTTCTGCTCACCGATATCTGTGTCTCCGTCCAACTCCCCACACTTACACGTATGGAGCAACATTCTACTTACACCGCAAAGAGCGCGAAGAAATTGTTGTCATCACATTCTGACCCTCCTCATGAACTCTTATCAATTGCTATTACTTCCTCTCACCCACCGCCTGTGTGCTCGTTTCACTTCCTGTACCGCATAAAAGAACTGGCATCCTACCATTGTTGTGACGTGTGTTACAAGTGTTTTTTAATCGGAATATCATTGTGGAACTGGCAGAGGTACACAAAAGCGGAAATCTTCGTGTGCCCAATATTATTATCATCATCGGCATCCATCCATTAGTTTACATGCATTTGATGGACGCTCTTCTGCAAGAGTGCTATTTTACAGATAGAATGTCATGGTCGTATAATTGAAAGGGAAATCGTAGAAAAACGCGTGCTAGAGAGAATCTTTCTGGTAGGTTTTCATCAGGAGGATGACAATCGTGAAAATATTGAAGAAAGCGAACATGAAGCCATTTCCATAACAACATACATGCTTTGCGCTTCACAGCAGGGACAAGCGTGTGTCGAGGAGTCCTACATGGGAGTCTATTTGGTCTACTAGATGGGAGGAAAGTCGTAAGTGCCGAGCACCGACAGCAGGTTCGGTGGTTTATTAATGGGCGCCGTGAGCTGGATGTCGCACGATGTCGAGGGGAGGACGCGTTTCTGATGAGTTTGATCAGTGCCATGCGCTTCAATTGCTGCTCCTTGCAAACTAACTTCAAGAGAACTATAACTATAAAGTTTGTTACGTGAGCAGAAAGCTCACCTGAGAAAAATAGCAACAACACAGTGTAAATTATCGAACAGAATACGCACTCCACCTATCAAGATTACGTACCAACAAGTTGATTACACGGCGTCTAAATTGCATAAGGGACATAGCGACGGTTATATTTCCCGATAACTTCGAAAAATCACTACCACTACCAGCCTTAAGATAGATTTCCTTACACGCTGTTCATCTCTTATCGTGTCAAGGAGATTTTCATGTAGCTTGCCCTGGATCTCGAAGGTAAGATGAAAGACATCAAGAAGATTCCAAAAGAGGCAACGTAAAATTGCGTAAAACGGTAAACGTAAACGTAAAAATGCGTTCGTTTTGCGTGAATTTTGCCATGTAATTATTTCTTGCCTGAGTTCTGATCGAAGAAAAATTGGATGTCGATTTTGACATCATGGTGATTCAAGTGAGATTTCTTCTCCAGAAGGTGATTGAGAGAGGAGAGCGGATAGTCGTTCGTTGGCACAAGGTTAGTGCTACAAGGCGGAGCTAAAAGAACTGACCTGTCCGAGAGTCTCCGATTTTTCATGAATTTTTCCCGAAAGGTGTAAAGAAAACAACATGAACAAGATGGCTAGCTGTCGGATAATCGAGCTCGTGTGTTGAGTTGCAGGACATCTTGGAAACTTCAATATCAAAAGATTTTTACAACAATACATGTAAAGTGTCTCAAAAATTATGGACCGCCCTAATATCATGACGAAAGAATAGCTCGAGAAACTTCCTGAACCCGACTTTTTCCGATTTTTTTTGTCTTTCTTAAGGAACTATACTCCGTCTGGAAATGGCCACAATTTCCACCCTTTGGTGTGTGGCGTGCTCCAAGGCCAACATACGCGTACATATGTCGTTTTTACGCAAGGAGAAGTTGTGCATGGCAACTGTAATTACTTGAGTTGTGTTATGAACTTCGCGTTCATGACGTCATCCCTCGCGTCTCCCCCTACCGTCACTCGGACATTTAAGCAGCCTAGGGC